TTCGGCCGAACCTGTCAATTTTGCTCGTAAACGCGAACATTACAATATACACACGAGAAAGAAAGAGAGAGAGAGAGAGAGAGATCGATCGAAACTACACGTGTTTCATACAAATACTGTCTATGTACTGTCTGTCGTGACTTTGACGTTATTTTTCCTCGCCTGTCGCCGGTGAATCGAGTATAAACGCGGAATTCAATAGCGTTAAATATACCTGACACGAGTCGCGTACATCCTGCTCCGCTTTTGTACGGCGAAAAGAAAATCGCAACATCACGCATCCTTCTGGCGTTACGCGCTGCAGTCGAAAAGAAAATCGGTTCTTAACACAGTCGTGTGTACACAGATTTCGCGCTTCATCCTTGCCGTGCACTCGCTCTAATCGAGTAGTCGCTTGTGAATATTTCAATATAATATCGATCTACACACAGAGAGCGAAACAACGGACATTCCGAGTATTCGCGCGGACATCGATATAACGTCGTTGTGCGACGTATACACTGTAATCACGCAATTTCTCTTCTTGCAGTTTTTCTTTGCCTCAGTAAAACAAATTCGAACGTCCGAATCGACATCGCGTGCGCGATCGTTTCCGCGTCATAATTCATACACACTTCAAATTGTTATTTATTGCAAAAGCCTCTCGCGTTTTTTCTTTTCTAATTATATTGTTATATTTCGATTTTTTTCGTGTTCCCGAACGTGTCGCGGATATTGTGGAGCGAACAACGTTCTTCTCTCTCGAGAAGATACCGATCAATTGTGGATCGCTCACCGATCACTCCTATCCAGTAGCCATCTCCCGCTTTCGTTCTCGTACATAATAGCGCATTCAGCTGTCACCACTGTGTTTCCATCATGTTGTAAAATATATATATATATGTGTACACACATACACACCACACACACACGGATCTTCAGAGATCTCTCGCTCTTACTGTGTATAATTGTACAATAGCTTTTGATCAACCGTGGCTCTTGTGTGTCGGCGTTGTCGCCCGTAATGGCATTCCGACAGCGGTGATAGACGACCGTCTCGTCCTTGTCCATGTTGTACAACATACTTGTCGCATATTATCGCGGAGGACGACCGCTTGCACTCTCTTTCCACGTGCAAAACTCCGAAATTTGCATTCGGAGTTTGACCGATTGCTTCCTCGGTAGCCGCGGCCGCGGTCGGATTTCTGTGCGCGACTATCCCTAGGATTTCGCGAGAAAATATTTTCGCATTCGGTCCCGGATGTAAAGTTTCTTCTTTTTGATAAAACAAAAATATAGTACGATATATTCATTTTAAGAGTAACAATTATTGTATTTATTTTAAGAGTGTTCCGGTGTGTAACAAACCTTGATGGAATCACGAACGATCGATTTAGCTTATTCGAAATGCCTTCGTTAAAACAAACTGATTGATACTGACGTATTGATCAATTTTGTAATGCGTCGGATGGAACGATAGAAATCGTAATGAACCCGGTGTAATCGGTTGAGATTAGTTTGGGGATTCGCTTGAAACGCGTCCGCCAAAATGGCCGGTTGGATTAAGTAAGATATACGTGGAATATGAAATTGAGAGAAACGCTTTTGGCTTATTTTATGGTTTTTAATATCAAAAGTGACTAAAGAGCAGAGTGGTTGTAGGTAGAATGTGATTAATACTTGTTCACGTCCATACGGAAAAAAAAAGATTTGCTAGAATAGCAAGGAAATTAGTTAGTGTATAGACAGCGGAGAAGGAACTTGCCTACTATATTTTTGGATTTCGCTAATAAAAGATTTTTGTGTGACAAAAATTTCAGTTAGCTCAGCAAATTCTTTCTTTGCTGTCCGTAAAACTTTTTTTCCATGTAAAAGTTAGTTAAACGCGACTTATAGTAACAAACAGCAATCGGAATGGTAATACGTACTTGCGGAAGTTTTACACTGACATTGAAAGATATTCTTCCGTTCCGGTCGTTACTTTAAACAACACACACACACACACACACGCGCTTTAATCCCGGAGATAAATTTTGATCTCGGCACTTGCTTTATTCGACGGGAAAAGTTGAATTTTTTCCGCGTTACGTGACTCGATAATAAAGCAAAATCTGGGAAAGATTCTGCAGAAACAGTCGACAAGATCAATTTCCGCGGTTCATTGCCGCAATTCATCGCAGCATTCCGCGCGCGATTTGTTTTCTCCCGCGCGCAGGTAATTACTAACTAAAACGTTCGGACGCGGATCGATCCTTCCGTTTTGCGCGCGCGTTTAAACGAACGAGAGATAGAAGTTTCGATACTCTGTATGTTTACTTTCACAACATCGCAAATACAAAAACGCAAGTAAAATGACAGTTAAGAGAAGGATAAACGAGTAAATTGCACACATAATGTTCGCCGTTTAAATATATCGAACTGGAAATTTGTGCCAATAACTAAAAACAGTTTTTCTATTAAAAAAATATTATAAAAAAATTATTTATTTCTATATAAATGTAAACATATATTTTATATTATTGAAGTTGAATATAATTATGCAAATAATGTTGTAGCAAACACTGATTTGAGACTCTTTCTCATTTATCATGTAACTTCCAATATCTTCTCAAATATGTGCGTCTTGAGCAACTCTTTGCACCGAATAATAAAACATATAATCAGTGCGCGAACACAATATAACCTTGCTTTATATCCAATATATATTCACGGTCATATCTCATGTCAACTATAGATCGAAAGATGTGATATAAACGGCGTTTAAACAAATCTCATTATCTACTTTGTCACATGTAACTCGGAAAAGTTAGAAAGTTGTGTGTGTGCGAACTTTATTTCGCTTCTCAGAAACACGTAGAATAATATCGACCGTGGAGAATATTCAAACTACAAAGCGCATTATTTGAAATTGAACAAAATTCGCAACGCGTGTGTAAGTTTCGAATTTCACTATGTTTTATTGAACAATGTGTTTCCGCACTTACGTTTACTTTTGACGTTTACGCATCGCGTTAGCTCGAACAGAATCAGAATCGTTACGGGAAATACATTATCTCCTCATTGATTTTATTTTCTCAGAATGTCTTCGTTAATTCGTTTCAAAACTATTTTTAAATCAGTAAATTACGACTCTCTTATCGCTATAGCAAATAAAAAACATCGAGCACATTAAGACCGGATCGAAGCCGGATCTCTTGTTTTCACACACCTATATCTGCTACCATGACAAAGCAGTCTGCTTTAGATCAATCGAGAAACTGACTATTAAAGCTCGTGCCGTTCCTACGACGAGACAGTTCTCCTCTGCGAAGAGGCAAACGACAATCGATGCGCTTTACTCGTTGTTGCTTTTAATCCGAAGTTACGCGAATTAATTTTGCGAACAAATCTCTCCTACGCTCGTGGATTCTCTACCGTTTTCTGAACAAAACAAAATGTTGCAACGTATTCATCATTAATTGACTTAAAATACAAAAATATACCTAAGTGAAAAAATATTCGGGATGTTTAAAAGACATTAAATTAAATTGTTCAACGCGCGCGCAAATGATATGAGCAGTGACGATATTGAAGGATTGAAGATACAATTTTCATCTTATAGACCCGCGAGGAATTAACAACGCGAGTTTTATACTATCCGCGCGCGGCGCGTTCTTGATGAATCGAACTGAGAAAATGTCAAGACACGTGCGACCTTGTACACTGAAATTATCGTTGGTTACCGTTCGACGACCTCGGTCTAACCGATGTACTTCTTTCTTATGACTCTACTGATACGCTGAGTTGCGAAAGTTGTACGAGTGATCGACAGAGTGTCACCAAGTTGAGCTTCGCGAATCGAAAAGTTGGGCTACGGACGAGCTTTTCGGATAACTATAATAGATACTTGTTCCGTTCATTGGATCAGTGTTATACTACGTGTCCAGAAGTTTTCGATCTTTATCGTTTCTTTTATCGCCATAATGTATCGTGTGTTGCGGTGAAGTTTGTTTGAAAAGTAATAGAAAGAATTACAAACGTGAAACGCATTAAGGCGCCGAGACGATTCGTTTATTTATTTATTCAACGTGTATTTATAAAAGTTTGCAGAGTTTTCATCACCGAAAAGAAACTCTGGTTTTATAAACGTCGTTCTACGTCGTAAGAATATATCAATAGTAAGAGAAAAAAATATTTTAATTATTTTTTTAAATTATTTTACGCCAGAAGTTCAATTTAATTTTATTTGTTAATAATTTGTTTTTCCCGATATTATTCCCGTTATATTTCTTTAATCAAAGTAACTACGAGTCTCTTACTGAACGCTTTTAATAGTCGACTGTTAAAAAAAAAAAAACTAGGTTGTTTGCTATAAACAGAACGGCCGAGAAATTTTATCGTTTGTTAAGAACAATCTAATGAATCCAAAATATATCGTTCGGATCGTTTTACAAACGTTAAGCGAGACTACGCGGTTTCGAATTACGCTGGAAAGTGAGAACAAAGTAAAGAGAAGAACGGCGATAAAGTGTATTACGGCACAGAAAAAAATAAATTAATGAACAATCGGTACGTACGGCTCCCGAATCACGAACGTTCTTCGAACTATGGATAATCTTCGAAGAAATGGCATGAGCGAGGGTAACTTCTAAATCTCGGACGTGATAAAAACCCGTGGTTTCGCCTACATCACTCACGCTTTCTGAAATTACGGAGAACACAGAAAGCACGACATGAACAAACAAACGGCTCTCGTGACAAAGATTGATTTACCTCCCACATCGAAAATTTCTGTTTGAACTACCATCCAGAATTAACTTCTCCGACGTATTAATATCAACGACAAAACTAAACGCCGTACATAACGATAGTGTCGCACAACTTTTGCTGCAATGTTATTTTTTGGCAATTGAACATATAAGTCGATAATACAATTTTTCACAAAATACTAAAGAGAGACATTGGAAAAATGATAACGAATTTTCTCTAATTTGATATATTTTAATGACGTTGCATTGTGTGCAAATTTCACTCATTCTTAGTGTTCTGGGGTTAAGTGTCGATTATCTTCCGAAAGTGTTTCGGCCGAAATCCCACGGCGGGAGAGACACCGCTATCATTCTTCCCGTTCGACCTAGATCGGCCACGCGAGTGCTTTCGAACTATCACACGGCATCACAGAAAGTCGGTAAAAATAAAGCGCGCCGAACATTCTCGCGAAGTTCACTACCGAGAGGGTGTTCACTGTCAGTGCCATCGTATGAAGCGGTTTAAATCCCGGTCCTCAATGGTGTCCGACGTTGTCGCCCGTCGTCGGTTTCTCCTGGGCACGAGCGCGTACGTTCGAGACGGCGTTCGTAACATGTTGAGATCGTTAGTCTCGTAGTAGAGACGCCAGAAGTTAGAGACAACCGTCGGCAACGTGTCCGCAGACTCGTGCGAGAAAAGACAAAAAAAAAAAAAAAAAAAGAGGGAGAAAAGAAACCGAGAGAAAGAGCTCTTATGCCGGAGAAACCGCAGAATCTCTCCAATACCGAGAGCATGTAGCGGGATTCAGAAAAGATCTCGAGGGAACGCTGAAACAACCCTTTTCCCCTCCCCCTCTTGTATTTTTCGTCTCTTGTGATCGTCGTGCACCGCCACCACCACTACCACTGTCACTTTTCCACGCGCATCCCCCAAATTCACCAAACGGTCTGGGGATCGACCGGAAAATAAAAGCGTACCGTGCGTATGCGGTCTCGAATTAGAAGTAAGAAACACTCCGAAAAAAAAAAAAAAAAAAAAACTAAGCGACACGATACACACCACGAGAAATACGCCGACAGCAACCCCGAGATCGAGCACCGAAGTCAGTCATGAATCTTATGTTCCGCAAGAACTTCGGGGGCGAGAAGGGACCTGGTGGTGGTGGACTTGGAGGAGGACTCGGAGAGGTCAGGCCCGTTCTGGGCACTTACGGGACCGGCGGAACCTCATTCGGCCAGTTAGGACCGCGTTTCGGATCGTCGCGCGGCGGCGTCGGCCACACGTTGGTCGGCAGCACGCGTGGTCCGGTACGACGAAGCCGGGAGTTCGGCCATTTTCCGTCGATGGGCGATCACGAGCACCAAGGACACGGTTACCGTACTCATCTGTTCCTGTCGCCACCCACAGGTGGGCCGCTCGGCTCGCCACCCGAGGACTCAGGAGAGCGGCTGGGCCCGCCGCCGCGCCGCAACTCGGGACCTCATGTGATCAAGTGGGGAGGCGGCGGGCCCGGTGGTTCCGCGCAGGCAGCGCAGACCGCTAATCAGGCCAGGCGGAAGCAGAACCAGATCACCCAGAAGGAGCCTTCCGATCCGCCGACGCCGACCGCGTCCAGGCAGGTGAGTAAGGCGATCCGAGATTATACAGTTTAGAACGATTCAAGAAAAGAATAATAAAAAAACAAGATTTGTTTAAAATAATATTTCTGATATGATAAAAATGATTTTAGCGTGAAATTATCTTTTGCTAACAAAGTGCTTATCATACTTTATCTCTTTTTGTTTTTCAATTAGAGAGTTTATTATATTTCCGAGATAATATAATGTGTATAAAATATATTCTGAAAGAAACATTTCATAGTTTACCTATTGTTAAGTCGCTATTTATTTAAATAACGATAAACTCACGGTAAAGAGCGGCGAATAAAATGCGAAATGATACGCCAATAAATTATCAAACACATTAATCTCGCGATATAAGTCACGCACGAAAAACTTGCTGCGGTAGCAACGTTGCAATTAACCCTAATTATGGTCATTTCCTTCGCAATCGACCGAAACGACGCGGAAACAGGATTAATCTATGACGTTATGTTCTTCGCGACATTAGGGGAGGGGGGACTATCTGATCCGAGAGATGAATGTCGCACGGGGGGGTTAGGATGTTCTCCCGACGATTGTTTGCTCGGTGCTTTATATCTCATTACTCTAACTGTCACCCACATAAGGGTAAAAAGCATCGGTATTGCTAGGAACAAGCTTGCCGTCTGATTTATGATAATTATCCCGTTTTTAATAAACCGGGCTGTTTTAATTTCTATTAACATATTCTAAATGAAGAATAATAATTTTTTCCAATCTAGTCTTGTAGCAAACTTCATCTTAATAAAGAAATTAATCGACTTTAGCAGAGCGTAATATAGTTTTTATTACGCTCGAGAGTTTTTATTTTATATTTTATATTTTATATTTTAGATATATATTTTTTTATCATTGTCGCGTCATTCATCAGAATCATGAGCGTTGTATTGCTACTTTTTCGAGCGGATAAAGCGCGAAGAATTTCAGAATAAAGCAAAATTGCGAAGAAAATTGGAAATCGTTTGCAGAAAAGGAAGCATAAAGTGGCACCTACGCGAGCTCAAACGACACGCAAAATCGCTATCTTTTATTGCGCGTTACAGTGAGAATACCGGAGATAAATTCGCTGTAAGAGTCCACGGTCACAAGTGTTCGAACACTTAACGTTTACGCTGTGTGTGTTCGCGAAAATTCTCCTTGTATCTCAACCTACCTACCGCGATGTCTTCGCGAACGTTTAGGTGCGCCGTATTCTGCGCACAAGATGAGACATTTTCGGGCCACGGGCACATTACGTAAATGGCGCAATGAAGCCCACGGGCGTATCCGTGCTTGGCGATGCGAAGGGCTGGCAAACGAAATTTAATGATAGGCGTTTAACCTTTTCAGAATGCACATAATCGGGAGCCGGAAAATAACACGATAACAACGTATTTTAATTTTTTTTAACGTATTTTAAAGTAATTAATTAAATATAAAAGTAAAAAAATGAAGACAATTTAAATAATAAAATATACTCAATTTAAAAAGACTTAAATAATAGAAGATTTAGACTTAAATAATAAAATTCTACTATCAGGAAAAATATTGTTGAAACATTTAACATTATTTTTTAATATATATAAGACATATATATTAAAAAATAATAATATTTTA